CAATTCACTCCATTTCCATTATTTCGCTATTAAAATCTATACCATCACCGCCATTTTCAAATTCAGATTCTGAATCAGATTCACCTAGCGAAATAATGAAAGGAGGGATAGATTCGTAGGAGAGATTTCCCATATTTTTTCCCAATCTGCCAAAATAAGTTTTCACAATGTTTACCAAAAATTTTGCCATATACTTGGAGTACATTTAGAAAGCGCCTGAAACCATAAATTCTCCACCCTATTTTTTAATGAAAGTTGAGAATTTATATGCTTGTTGTAATAGTTTTTACAAAATCCCCACGCCAATTCACTTGAATTATATTGACAATGGTACGAAGGTAATCTAAGAACTTCATGGCCACTTTCTCTTAATGTCTCGTCTGCCAAATATCTTTTTTTTCTATAATTTCTGAAAGGTTTAATTAAACCCCACAACTGTTTCTTCTATAATTTTTTGTCAAATTCAACACTATGTTTAAAGAGCAATTTGTGCATTTCACATTTTTTACTAAAAAAAGTGAGTCGTTTATCCAACTGAACCGAATGATACGGTGCATTGTTTAAAACCACCACACATTTTTGGTTCAATTTTGCCAAAGCAAGAATGAGCTGATTAACCATCCAATTTTGAAAAATTGTCCCGTCCATCGGTTTACAATAGTCTCTATCGTTATTTTTTGAATTTATAAAAGTGTTACAACCATTCAAGAACCTCGTTGAACAACCCGCGTGGAGAATGGTAAACCTTGATCCTTCACTTTTAATTTTGGTGGGATTGCTTTTTGGATCAGTATCGTGCACCCAGCTACGAATGGACGAACCATTTTGATAGATCCATGTTTCATCCAAATACAAGAAAGTCAAATTTTCACAAAAATTTAGAAACTGTAAATATGTTCTCAAAAAACTAATTTTGGCTACAACGACATGTTTTTGTTCACATAGAACTTTGCGACCATTTACTTCCCTGTGTTTATAACCCATTGACTTTAGAATTTTGTATAATGTAACCAAGGGGGGCGTCCTCTGTTTTACAGCATATTTTTACATTACAGAAAATATGGTCGAGACCGTCATAATTACCTCTTCGAAAGAAAAATCGGGCCTGTCTTTTCGAAACTGCAAAGAACATCTTGTTATTGCAATTTTTTGTTGCAGTGAAACTATTTTAGGCATTTTCTTTTTAAATAATGTCGCAATGATCTGTGAATCTGTCACAATGACAAATTATCTATGCTGACAAAATTAAAACATGTGGTTGCTTGACTAAAAAATTGCGTCTACTAATTCTGATCTAATAAATGAAGTAGAAAAGTGGTAATCCAGCTCAAAGCAAATGTCAGTCAGCCTACTGACAGACAACAAACTAAATCATCAAATCAGTTTATTCAACTTAAAGAAAAAATATCAAAACCTAGTTTACTATATAAAGATCGTGAATGGATAATAGCGAACCATCAAAACGATCTGACATATTTAAATTCGTATTGATAACTGAAAGCAGAAACTGCTAACTAATAATAATTAACTACGATAAAGGAATTTAATTTTCTTACATACATATTTCAGTATTTAGCTTGCAGCATCTCTGGATCAGCAACCTCTGACGCCAGGTAGACTACCGTTTTTGTCATCACATGCTTGAAAGGTCAGACAAGGTCACATCAAGTGCCTGCAATGGAATGGATGATACCTTCTGGAATGAAGCTACCGACAAGTATTACTTGCTAATAATGGTGGATACAATAATGGGTATCGCAGGAGGTTGTAGAACTGCCGAGTTAGTTGCAGATGTGTCATATAGAAGATCGTGGTTCTGTTCCTGTTGTGAGAGCAAGAAGGCACGTTATTTACAATCATATAGGATGTATAAAGACCTAAGACCAAAGAACGAGCTGCACAATAGATTTTTTATTAATCAATGTTGTGGGCACATTTAACCTGGTGCCGAACTACCTACTGGTAAAAAGGAAAGGAAAAGCGAAAGCATTCACTGTGAGCTTGAAATCTCGTACCTATGTAAATCAGCGTTCTTCACAGGACACAGATATTAGTGTGGGTAACAGTGTTATGTTAACAACATCTATTACAACTAACTTCACGGTGGTTAGATTAAGACTTCATAGGTAGTTTATAATAGTCTATCAATTTAAAAATAAAAGGTCAAAAAGCACAAGAAATATCTGAACCATGTGGAGGCGTATTTTTTAATACGGAGTTTGTAGTTTGTCTAATAATTCCTTAGACTAGGACCATCAGCTTGGGGAATAATATTTTTACTAATGATAAGAGAGAAATACAAGCAATGACATACGTCGCAGCGTACCTTTCAACAACATTTGATTTAATAATCCTCTCAGATGACAACTTTTTCAGGAGATGAATAAACAAATTGTAAGATAAATGGTGTAATCCATAAAGTAATTTTAACTTTAAAAAGTTTGCCATCTAATGTTCCAGTAAAGCGTACACTTCGAGAGTTCATTGTTCTTACTTAAAAGTAAGAGTAAATTTTTAAACGATATGTAAACTTGTAAGTTATTTGTGTTAGTGTTCTCATCCAGTTTCAATTAAGTTCGTTACCAGGATTTTGTACCAGTGTATAAAAAGAACAGAAATTACATCGACGTTTCTCCGCTATTTATTCGGTGGTTTCTTGAACAAATGTTCACACAAACATGAGGTACTTATTTTTATATAGAAAAAACTTGGATCTTCCAGCATCCACTCATAGTTTTGGTTCCTTCAGACAGACAGTCAATCAATCAGTCAACTACCTAGTTAAATATAGTCAAACAATCCAAAAAAAAAAAAAGAATGGCTAAATTTCTGCGGTTAAATTAAAAAATCGAACCACTACATCATTTTTCTTACAATAGCAACAATAGAATTATACTGAGAATCTTATCAAGTGTACGTACGTAAAATTCTTGCTGGTGAAATCTTCATAAGTTTCAGAAGTTATAGTGCGAATTATTACATAAAAATTACATATTCAGATAGTGTAAAATCTTCTGAATTTTGTGATGTGCATTTGATTGTCCCTTGATTTGAAATAGCTTGGTAATTTGGCTGGTAAGTGAGCACTTTAATTCACAACTTCTATCAGTGAATGTTCTTGTGTTCACTTTTTATTGCTCCTTAATTGAATGCCAATGAATGCTGTTATTGATTATTAGTGCCTTTAAAATTTCTCTTCTCAATTGGCTTAACCTTTGTACTCAGTCGCTGTTCCCTGCCGTTGTCGATCTTTCCTTGTGTGTGAATATTTTTTAGAAAGTCACTGAGACCGACACCGCCAGTGTGAAAAAAGTGTCCCTATTATATCCAACTTCCTGAATTATGAGCGTTATAAATTGTAGTTGTTGTAATGGTCCTGCAGAACCTCATAAAATTGTGAACTGTTGTGTATGTAACAAACCCTATAAAATTGATTGTGTGAATATTTCATCAGGGGAGGCCAGAAAAATTCACTCAAAGTCCGGCTTGACTTGGACATGCAAGAATTGTGCCCAGTTGGGAAATGATATCAATAGTTTAAAGAAAATCATTATTGCACTACAAAATGATATCAATGAGTTGAAATCAAAAATGCTGACACCGGATGCTACAAATTCACAGGCTAATCTACTTGATGTGGAAAAGATTGTTCAGGAGGTAGCCGATAGAGAGAAACGTAAGTTTAACATCGTTGTCTTTGGTCTCAAAGAAGACAAGGATCTTAAGACAAATAACGATCAACTGAACGCTGATAAAGTTATACTTCCAAAAATTCTTTCCGCGGTTGGTTTCAATGAAAACGATTTAAACTTTATGCGGTTGGGAAAATTTGATTCTTCTAAACAAGAGCGTTGTCGTCCTGTGAAGGTATTTTTGTCTTCGACTGGTAATGTTATTGACATCTTGCGTAATTCTTTTAAGCTTAAACTTATTCCTGATTACAGTAATATTTCTATTTCGTCTGACCGAACACCAATGCAGCTTCAGGCTTATAAAGCTGTTAAAAATGAATTATCTAATCGTTTAGCCAATGGAGAGTTGAATCTTAAAATCTATATATATAAAAATGGATGTTGGTATATATATATATCTGTGATCGATAGACTCCGAAATCGTTTGACCGATCACCATGAAATTTGGTACATGTAAGTGGTTTTTCATGGAGAAGGTTTTTGTGGTATCCGCTTTGCTGTAACTAGCCACTAGATGGCGCTACAGCACATCAACTTCTACACCGTTCAACCGATTCTCATAAAAATTGGTACACGTTGGCATTTGACTATCGAGAATATTTTCGCCCTATCCATTTTGCTGTAACTCGCCACTAGATGGCGCTGCAACACATCAACTTCTGTACCAATCAACCGATCCTCATGAAAATTGATATACGTTGGTATTTGACCATGGGGAATATTTTCGCGCTATCGATTTTGCTGTAACTTGCCACTAGATGGCACTGCAGCACATCAACCTCTCTGTTAAAATATTATGAACTTAGAGAATCAGCGGCACCCATATATCTAATACTACTATATTGCTATCAGGCCTCAAAAGAGTCCGAAAATACAACGGCAGAGCAATATATCGGACCTCTTTGTCTCTCTATAATACCAAACAGTACTGCTCATATAATCGTACTTGCTTGATTTTTAGTTGATAACGTGACTAGATGTGTTTTGACATTTCATACGTTCGCTTCTATTTTGTGTACGTGCGCACAGACCCTCGGTACTTTTCTAGACAGAAAACAATATCTTCCGTCTCCCTTTGTCCGTGAACACCGTTTCTATGTTACTTCTGAAGAGTTAGCAAGTATTAGATATATGGCGACACCAATGACAACATTGTTTTCGTTGGTTTTACAACAAAAATCGTATTGACCGCAAAAGAAAATAATTAGTGATGTTCACTGTCTACAATCCTCAGTAATAACAAAAAGTGACTTACTAGAGATTATTGAAAATGCCACCCAAAAAATCAAACTGATTCCGCGCATTCCAATGGTTCCTACTGATTTGCCCTTTACATTCAAACGACTACAGTTTCCTGTGCGTCTTGCTTTCGCGATGACAATCAACAAAGCCCAAGGGCAGTCTCTGCGCGTTGCCGGATTAAATTTAGGAAGTCCATGTTTTTCGCATGGTCAACTGTATGTTGCTTGCTCCAGAGTAGGAACTCCAAAAACTCTGTACGTCTATACACCAAATCGAAAAACCAAAAATATTGTTTACCCACTAACGTTACGATAGATGTTAGTATTGATTAAAATGTGTTCAAGTTGTTTCAGTTATATAGCGAATAAAATAGTCAAAAATTTTGTTCATTCACGTGAATTACTAAGACAAAAATGTGTACATTGTGTATACTAATGAAAATAAATGGAATAGCATCAATATGAGTTAACTTATTATTCAGTTTTCTACAACGCATTCTGCGCTCCAGACCATACATTTATATCCATATATATACAAAGTAAATATATACACCAGCAGGACAACGTCTGCCGGGTTCCGCTAGTCAAATATAAAAGTGGAATTCCTGGCATTGTCTCAAATTTAAACTAAACGCGCCCAACAATAACCCCACCATCATTAATATCTACTATCAAAATACAAGGGGTCTTCGATCTAAAACACATGACTTTTATCTTGGCGTCTGTGAATCCTCATATGATATTGTTATTGCTACCGAATCATGGTTAAATAACTCTATTCAGGATTATGAATTATTTCCTTCTTGTTATAATATTGTTCGAGTTGACCGAAAATTTGATGTTGTTAACAAATCTGATGGTGGAGGTGTTGTAATTGGTCTTATTGATAAAATATTATACACTGTTGTTGACGTTTCGAACATTTCTCAACTTGTGCCATTGATTGATATTGCTGTATGTGAATGTCAGTTGTCTACTACACATTTTTTCCTTGTTGTATTGTATATACCCCCGAATTTATCATCTAATGACTATGAAATCTTTTTTGAAGCACTTGAAATATTTCTTGCTAATAAATCTGTCTTAATAATTGGAGACTTTAACATAACATCTTATATTGATAAAAATACTACATGCACTAGTGCTAGATCTCTTCAACACTTATGCAGTTCTCTTGGTCTTGCGCAATTTAATGGCATAATTAATACAAATAATAGAGTTTTAGACTTAGTATTATCCAATCCAAATTACAGTATTGAGGTTATTCGAAATGATCAACCATTTATAATTGAGGACAACCATCACCCTGCCCTGGCAATTTCAGTTCAAATCCCGGCCAGTTTGAATTCACTTCCGTTTCCGTCTGCTCAAAATAAACGATTCAACTTTAGAAAAGCGAATTTCATTACATTATACAATGATCTTCTTAACATGGACTGGTCCTGTCTTGAAAGGTACTCTGAGGTAAACCAAGCACTTCATGCTTTTTATAATATTCTATACGGAATTTTGGAAAACTCAGTTCCCCAAAATAAAACACAAAAGTGTCAGTATCCTCCTTGGTTTTCCTCTAGTATTATATCTAACTTAAAACTCAAAAATTACTACAGGCGGAAGTGGAGATCTAGTAAAAATGTTATTTATTTAGAGAATTTTAAAAGATTACGCCGTCTTTGCAAGAATGATATCTCTACAGCTTATGCTTCTTATATGGATCGAATTGAACAATCCCTTCATTCCGACCCCAAGGAAGTATTCAAGTACTTACACATGAAGCAAGGCACAACCAGGATTCCGGGCAGAATGTATGATAATGTATGACTCTGCAAGTGAAATTGTAAATGCTTTTGCAAGCACATTCTCTCAATCTTTTGGTGATTCATCAAATGTTCCAGTTGTTGATACTCACACTTCTTATAATACTTTCAATTTACAAAAGGTATGTGAAGAGGATTTAATAAAAATAATGTCAACCTTTTCAAACAAAAATACAGCAGGTGATGATCTGATACCCAGCTTTTTAGTTCGTGATTGCAGATACGTTTTGGCTAAACCTTTATGTACAATTATTAACTTAGCTATTTCTTCATGTTGTTTTCCCATATTGTGGAAACGTGCTAGAGTTGTTCCGATTTATAAGAAGAATGATATCTCTCAACTAAAAAACTATAGACCAATAGCTATATTAAATAACTTTTCGAAAATATTTGAACAAGTTATATACAGTACCATCTATCTTAATACTCATCTTCACATCTCTCCTTATCAACACGGTTTTTTAACTGGTAAATCGACCATTACAAACCTCATGATAGTAACGCAATATATTTCTGAAGAACTAGATAAAGGTGGACAAGTGGATGTAATCTACACGGACTTTTCTAGTGCGTTTGACCGTGTTGATCACAACTTGCTGCTGAATAAGCTCAGTTTTTTTGGCATGTCTCCATCATTTATTAAACTTATTGAATCCTACTTGGTTGCACGAATTAACTATGTCTTTTATAATGGTTACTTATCACATGAGTATGTGTCAACGTCAGGTGTACCTCAAGGTTCCAACCTGGGACCTCTTCTTTTTATATTATTTATTGATGACTTATTGAGGGCACTTACATGTCCTAGACTTGGATTTGCTGATGATTTAAAAATTTATTCTTCCATTGATAATCTTAATGACATGAAGCTTCTTCAGGACAACCTAGACATGATTTACAGATGGTCTGTAGAAAATAAAATTCTTTTGAACATTATTAAGTGCTGTTTTGTGACTTTTACTCGCAAAATAAATCATTTGTTTTCTGCTTATTACATCAATGACCAAAATCTTATTAAAAATGACACTGTTAAAGACTTGGGCGTAGTCTTTGATTCACAGTTAACTTTCTCAGAGCACATTGAAACACTTGTATCATCTGCCTCAAAATCTCTGGGATTTGTAATACGCATTTCGAAATATTTTAGAACTCCAGCTTTATTCAAATCATTTTACTTTTGTTTTGTAGTCAGTGAACTCGAATATGCTGCAGTAATATGGTCACCTTATTATTTACAATACGAACTTATTATTGAGCGTATTCAACGTCGATTTCAGAAGTTTATGTCTTTTAAGCTGTATGGTTATTTTCCTGAAAGAACTATGGAATATAGTGCTCTTCTTGATCAGCATAAGTTTCAGTCTTTGGTCATGCGAAGAGATATGCACTCTGCGAAATTTCTTTGGAAAATTGTACATAATAGAGTTGATTGTCCTCACATCCTATCGATGATCAATTTCTATGTGCCACGTCTGAATAATCGTCATGCGGTGACATTTTATTTACCCAAACCCAAGACTAATATGTTAAAAAAATCTCCAATAACTAACCTATATCGTTGTGCTAATAAGTTATATGATGATATTTTTGCTAATGGGATCAAACAAATAACTTTTTAATTTATGTTTTTGTAATATTTAAGTTTATATTCTTCTATTATTGTAATTTAATTTATTTTAAGTTAATTTAATTGAAGTGAATTTTATTTTATTGTACATGTACACAAATATGTATTTTGTCCTGTTAATGGGAAACTGTTGGGCAATAAAGTTATTATTATTATAATAGCTAAGTTATTCAGCATATTTAAAGTTTGGTCTGCCTACTTCATTTTAACATTTCTAGTAGAGATGTACCGACTATAGTCGGCCAACTGTTCCGCTTTGCTAAAACCGGTTTATAAATGCAACAGACAGTGTGTTTTTTTTTCTATTTCTATGACTACCTTAAAAACTTGTTTTATTTTAATAAAAGGAATAACTAAAGTTTCTTTGTTTTCCAAAAAATGTGTTAAATTTGTTTGGATAATTTTAACATTTAATTTTTTGTAGTAACTCAGTACAAAAATAAAGAATAACACAATTTAGGGCAGTTTATACAATATTTAACCAATTTTAACCACTCAGAATCGTAACTAGCGGAAGATTATCTACACTTTGACACCAATTTTTGGTCGATTAAACCAATTTTAACCGGTTTTGACAAAGCCGACTATAGTCGGTACATCTCTAATTTCTAGTGTTTTCAACTGACGTCATTATTCTGTTTTGGCATAATAAAACAAATTTTAGCAGCTTTGAGAGTTCTGGATATATATGGTGTTATATTTGCCTATGACTATGGAACCACAAAAAATTCAATATGATGAGTGAAGAGACAAGAAAATACTACACAAAACCATCAAATTATGAAAAAATTGAGAAAAAATCATTCACGCTCTGTTCAAAAGATAAAATTCGAAAAGGGACCCAGGTAATAAAGATAAGTAGTTGTTGTTTTTGAAACGTCTCTTTCTTTTTATTTTTGTAACTGGTAATACCGAAGAATTTGTTCTGCTATATTAGATCTGTATTTGAATATGAATCCGTCATCTGAAACCCTTATTAATTATATATCACTTCGTTGGACAGAATTCAGAAAAAAATTGTAAATGTTAATTTTAAAATTCGTGGCTGCTGTCCTGTTAAGAACTTCTCATACCACGACTTGTTGAGTGTCATCTTATACCACTACAAACTAGACGATATTACATGACATATGTAGTTTTTTGTGTGAGCTATCGCATGGTATTTTTCAAGAAAATAATTTATTTCAGCATTCCATTGAATTGTTCCTCGACAATATCATATCCATCTTACGTGTTCCTTCAGAAACATAAACAGTATGAAGCATATATAAAGTAACTTTACCGTTTCAAGAACAATATTGAGCTATATACATGAGTTTTATGCCAGCTTATAGTATTTTTTTTCTGTGTATATGGAATGTGGATTAAATTTGCTTTTGTCTGATACTGATACCAGATACCTACCCACCTGTGATTTTTTCGTAATGTCTGATGAATGTTTTTTGAGATGTCTGATTTTATTTTTGACGTTTTCTCACTGCAGTGATTATATTTATGTTTAGTAACATTTGATTCTAGTGAAAATGAAATGTATTTGTTACTATTATTATAAACAAAAAATTGATACCACTGAATAGATGAAAAATGTGAATGAATCAACTGCGTTATTATGATACCCACCTCCAACAATAATGTTTAAAAAATAATAATTTCTGCAATCCTCAAGACATCCAAGGGAACCGAAACATTATAAAGCAGGTGATAAATTGTTCGTGGAAAATGTACATTTTCATTCAAATAAGTTCAACAGAATTTTCACATCGAATTACCTAAACAAAACGGAATAATTAAGAGATGTCGACAAGTTACATATTTTTTTTGGTAATGTTTACAAGAGCAAGACAGCGTTTGTCGCAATTTTTAGCAGGATGAATTTATGATTGAGTAAAATTGTTTTCTTCGTGTTTATATTTCTGTTATAATTATTGTACAAAATTTAAACATTTCTTGCGGCAATAACCTATTAACATAGGATTAGCAAAAAAACCAAAATTTGAAGGTATCGTAGAAGTTATATTATTCAAAAAGATAATAAATGGAAGTTGCTAAATTCTGATTTTATTTAAATAATTTACAAAAACTGAATTAATATGCTGAAACAAATGCAACACTGTGAAGGTATCTATAAATTTGGTACATAGGTACTTTATAGCGTACTGTGGCAAAAATTATTAAAATATTCATGAAGAAATAAAATACAATCTTGAAATTACATGTGATATATTTTAACACATTATGATGTTCCTTTATTTTACTGTCAAACACCCACACTAAATCTCTTCATTTTAAGATGTTGTAAAAGCAACTGGCTGACACACCTTTATTCCCGTAATCACATGTAATTTACTGGAAATTTCCTTGATATATTTTATTACTTCATTTATAGTTAATAACGGCGCACAGCATTGTGGTTGGTTCACAAGAAATAATTTTTAGAACACAAGAGAACGTAATAACATGAGAACTGTATTTGTCGTTTTGTATATTTAAGCTTCTGTCTTAACTAGTGCTTAAATTAATTTATGGCACATTTGGATTTTATGAAAAAGTAATAGTCACTAATTCATCATACAAGAAAAAACACGTATACGTGAATGTGTTAAGCATATCTGGACAAAGTGGAGCAAGTTTACCGGATGCTACTTTTTATTTTGACAAAACGGTACCTGTTTGTTAAATAAATAATATAAAATATTGTTTTTTCTGTTGCCTTGTGAGAGTTACTAAACGTAGTAAACCATACTGATCCTTTCTTGAAACTTAACGGTAAAGAAGTTGAGTATAAAGTTTAGATATTCTTTGACAAATCTCTTTTCTATGAGATATAAAAAACATCTGTCGCTGCGCCACTACGACAAACTGAATAATAATGAAAGGCACTGAAAAGAAATAAAGGCCATGTTTTTGTAACTTTAAGACTTTATGGTCTACTTCTTTTTTGTCTCGAATATGTAAAACAGAACTCCAAGTATTGCCAAGTTTTGCGTCAACATATCCCGCATAAATACCCGCCTCTACATTTCAAAATAGTCAAGAGCGGTTTAAAGGAAATTTTTATAACTTGAGAGATTATTATTTTGCAAAAAACTACATATTAATGTCAGATTTACTATACATAAACAATATTTGTTAGAACATTGTAATAATTGTAAATCAACACCTACGTTTTGCGAGTGCGTGAGTTGTAGGGAGGGGTGCACTCTCTGAATCCTCTTTCGTTGGTTAAGTGAGCTATTTTGCGTTATAAAATTAAACGACCCACTTTACGTCGATCATCTGCGTGAAACACACCGTATAATAAAATCATACAAAATTCATAACAGTGCAAAAGATACACAAGAAAAATTTTAGGACCCTCGTCTGCATGGAATAGAAAA